ACTTTACCTACTTTGAAATGAAACAGTAAAAGGATTTCATGGGACCAAAATATGCAACAGCTGTTTCTTACATTTTAGCCTATAGCTGCAGACTAAAATAAATCCTAGGAAAATAATTTCTTTTCCATGAAAGCTTCTTTGATTAACCACATTCCCCAACTTCCCCTTACAGTTTTGTGCAGTTTTTTGCTCCATACATGATAGTTACTTGTATGTATTACCATTTAGTGTTTACAGAGGTATTTATATTTGTATAGTTAGGCCGTAATCACCTCATCTTATATTATTCATTCATGCAATAATAGTTTCCTGGTATTAGTGATAAGATTGGTAAGATAGCAGAAAGGAAATAAGAGTAAAAGAAGAAATTAATGAATAAGAAAATAGAGAGTTCAGTAAAAACCAACAGTTGATTCCTCAGTAAGACCATGAAACAAAGTTCTGGTGAGACTGAGTGGGGAGGGGACAGCGCTCCCTGCTCTGACTACCTGAGGGATACAAGAGGATAAAATTATAAGAACACTGTGCAACATGATGTCCACAAATAGGAATTCACAAGTCTGACTATATTTTCCTAAATTACCAAAATTAAGTAGTTAAGCTGAATAGACAAAACAGAAGAACCATGAAGGGGCTTCAACAAAAGGGTAAATCCTGCTACAGAACATTAAACAAGACGAGTTCTTCAACTCATTCTATAAAGCTAGCATAACGGATATTAAAACTGAAAAATAGCATTAAATCAAGCCATTCTCACTTCTATACATAAGTAAACTCTTTAGAAAGTAACAGCAATCTGAACACTGCAATGGAGTAAAATGCAAATGCTAGAAAAGATGAGGCAGCTCTAACCACATGGATGGAATGCTTTCAAGATCAAGTGAAAAACGTTTTATCAGATTCCATGTTCATATATCACAATGAAATTCCAGAATACCAAAGACAAAAATCCTAAAATCAGCCAGAAAAAAACATTGGGTTAATAATGCTATCACCCTAATAGCATTTTCCATGAAAACAGAAGAATCCTAAAATTTACATGGAACAACAAAAGACCCCAAATAGCCAAAGCAATCCTGAGAAAAAAGAACAAACCTAGAGGCATCACAATCCCTGATTTCAAAATATACTACAAAGCTACAGTAATCAAAATAGCGTGGTACTGGCATGAAAACAGACAGGCAGATCAGTGGAACAGAATCGAGAGCCCAGAAATAAACCCACACATGTATGGACAGCTAATTTTCAACAAAGGAGCCAAGAACATACAAGGGAGAAAGGAAAGTCTCTTCAATAAATGGTGTTGGGAAAACTGGACAGCCACAAGCAAAAGAATGAAAGTAGACCATCATCTCACACCATCCACAAAAATTAATGCAAAATGGATTAAAGACTTGAATTAAGACCTGAAACCATAAACTCCTAGAAGAAAACTCAGGCAGTACGCTCTTTGACATTGATCTTAGCAGCATCTTTTCAATATCATTTCTCCTCAGGCAACAGAAACAAAAGAAAAATAAACAAATGGGACCACATCAGACTACAAAGCTTCTGCACAGCAAAAGAAACCATCAACAAAACAAGAAGACAACCCACCAACTGGGAGAAGATATTTGCAAATCATATATCAGACAAGGGGTTAATTTCCAAAATATATAAAGAACTCATACAACTCAACAACAAAAAACCAAACAACCTGATGAAAAAATGAGCAAAGGATCTGAACAGACATTTTTCCAAAGAAGATTTACAGACAGCCAACAGGCACATGAAAAGATGTTCAACATCACCAAATTATTAGGGAAATGCAAATCAAAACCACAATGAGATATCACCTCACGCTCATCAGAATGGCTATTAAAAAGATAAATAACAAGTGTTGGAGAGGATGTAGAGAAAAAGTAACCCTTGTACACCGCTTGTGGGAATGTAAATTGGTGCATCCACTATGGAAAACAATATGGAGATTCCTCAAAAAATTAAAAATAGAAATACCATATGATCCAGCTATTCTACTTCTGCATATTTATCCAAAGAACAGGAAAACACTAATTCAAAAAGATATATGCACCCCTAATATTCATTGCAACATTATTCACAATAGCCAAGACTTGGAAGCAACCTAAGTGCCCATCAGTGGATGAATGGATAAAGAAGATGTGGTGTACACACACACACACACACACACACACACACACACACAGGAATACTACTCAGCCATAAAAAAGACAAAATCTTGCCATTTGCAACAACATGGACGGACCTTGAGGGTATTATGCTAAGCAAAATAAGTCAGATGGAGAAAGACAAATACCATATGCCTTCACTTATATGTGAAAGATAAATACATAGATACAGAGAATAGATTGGTGGTTACCAGAGGGGAAAGGGGTGGGGGGGAGGGCAAAAGAGGTAAAGGGGCACACAAGTACAGTGACGAATGGCAACTAGACTTTTGGTGATGAACATGATGCCATCTATATAGAAGTCAAATTATAATGATGTACACCTGAAATTTATATAATATTATAAACCAATGTGATCTCAATAAAAAAATAGTAATAATAATGCTATCTCTCTGGGTAGTGGAATTATAAGCAAATTTCACTTTCTTCTTTACACTTAAATGTGAGCATCTGATTTTGTTACATTGGACACATATTACTTTCAAATTCTTTCATTTTTATCAGTCATATATGCATGTAGTATACACAGAGGCAAATGGTTCTACAAGGCCTATTTTTAAAAAGTAACCCCCACCCTTCTACCCTTCATTTTCCATTACTAGGATACAACCATTTCATCTTTTAGCCATTTCTAAATTACATGCTTATATTGCATTTTCTTGGTTTTTCAAATTTGTTATTATCTACTGACTTCCCACTGTATGAGACATGATGCAGCTCTTTCATACCTGTGATGGTCAGACTCTTAGGGTGGTCCAATGATCCTTCCTGGGGTTCATATCTAGGTAGTAAAGAATTTAACCCAACTCAAAGAGAGGTCCTACCTTTGCCATTGGCTTCTGGGAGGTACATGCCAGGGAGCCTAACACTGTGATTTATGGTGGGGCTTTGGGTCACACCACTAGTTGTGGAGCGTTGGAGACTGAGGTTAGACATGTGGGCAGCCCACCACTGAGCTCCCATAAAAACTCCGGACAGTGAGCCTCAAGTGAGCTTCCCTGGTTGGCAATATTCCATGTGTAGTGTTATATATCCGTGACTCCACAGGGAAAGGAGAATAGAAGCTCTGTGTCTCATACCCTCCTGGACTCTGTAATAAACTGTAACCCTGAGTGTTTCATTCAGTTCTGTGAGTCTTTCCAGTGAATTATCAAACCTGAGAGTGATTTGGGGAATCTCCTGAAATTGCAATTGGTGTCAGAAGTGAGGTTGATCTTATGGGAGCTGTTTTCCCCCTAACTGCACAGTTGGCTAAACTGACACAACACCCTTGAGTGATTTCCCCTCCCCTGAGTATGGGTGTGAGCTGTGACTTGCTTCCAACCAATTAGATATGGTAAAAGTGATGGCATGTCCATGATTACATGTATGTAATTATGTTAAATAAGACTGTAGCGCCCCTCTTGCTGGCGTCTCTCCCTCCCTTGCTGGCTTTGAAGTGAGCTGCCATGTTATGGGCTGCCAGTGTTGGGAGATTCACATGGCAAAAAATCAAAGGAAGTTTCTAGCAGCTGAAGGCAACATCCACTGACAGTCAGAAAGAAACTAAAGTCCTCTGTCTGACAACTGGAAAGAACTGAATACTGCCAACAAAAGTGGATCCTTCTCCAGTCGAGCCTCAGATGAGACTGCAGCCCCAGCTGATGCCTTAACTGTAGCCTTGTGAGACCTGGCACAGAGCCATGCCCAGAATCTTGACCCACAGAAACTGTAAGATAATAAACATGGATTGTTTTAAGCCACTAAGTTTGTGGTAACTTGTTATGCAGCAATAGGAAACCAATACAATCCAACCCCCTCTACCACCACTATTACCACACCAGCACTCAGCCTGTTGCCCTATCCTCCTCATATAATTAATCATAATTTTGATAAGACTAATAATCAATGCAAAGAGAAGAGATTAGTGCTTACCAGAGGGGAAGGGGATTAGGGGGTAGGCATAAGGGGTAAAGGGGCACATTTATATGGTGACTGACAAATAATAATGTACAACTGAAATTTCACAATGTTATGAACTATTATGACCTCAATAAAATTAAATTAAATTAAATGTAAAAAAGATTAATAGTCAATGGTTATATTACTTTAACTTCATAAATAGTTACTACTGAGCAATATTCTCAAATCAAACTATGATTACTTTTCTTTTCTTGCACACATTCATTGTTTCCTGGAGTTAAAAGGAGCTTGGATTTTTTTTGTTTGCCTAGTTTTCTATTTATTTATCATTTACTGTCCCCGAAACTCTCCTCCAAATGTCTAACTTTTCTCTTAGTATGTTCAAACATAGTAGGCTGTTAAACAAGATACATAAAATGCACAAACCATAAAGGAGAAGACTAATAAATTCAATTACATTAAAATTTTAAATTGTTTGCTAAAACAGACTAAAAACAGTAAAGACGATCCACACAGTGGGATAAGTTACTCATTGTGTAGACAACAAACAAACCATAAGTATCCAAAATACATAAAGAATTTTTAAAAAACAATAAGAAAATGATAGAATAGCCAAGAAGAAAATGCACAAAATATATAAATATTAAAAAGTTAAAAGACAGTAGCTGCCTCTGGGTTGAATGCGCCTGAGCACAGAGGAAAGAGAGTGACAGTTTACTCCACACCTGTTTCTCTGAGTTCTGTGCTATGTGTATGTATTGCCTTTTCAGAAATACATACACATACTAAAAATAAAAATAAATAAGAGAAAATAAGTTGTATGTTGTATATTTAGCCACACCCTATATTTTTCTACAAGATTATGAATTTCCTGAGACATGTAGAAACCATGTGGAACTTAATTTTTCATTTTCTTCTGACCTATCCTAACATACAGGACAGGTCATTGCTCTCAAATATATTTGTATGTTGAACAAAACCTACCAGTTTTATGGAGGCCATGATCATTTTTAATATTGTCTCTTGCAACCTTCCACACATTTGTGCTTGGTGAGAAGTGGGGTTCAGTAAGTGCATGATGAATTTAATTAAGGTGATAATGTACTTTTTCCTTCTTTTCATTCCAATCTGGTAAAGCTTTTAGATTTTAAATACTCTTTTTGCCTTTTATTCCTTAACTAATCTCTTTCGTAGGATAATCAACCCTTTTATACTGATTAGGGTTTATTAAGACAAACTGAGAGCTAAATATTTACATTCATTTTAGTCAATCACTGCTGCAACAAATTTCAAACACTGCAATCATTATACACTCATTCTAATTCTTGATTCTTTTTAAAAACATAATTTCAAAATTCACCAAAAACTGGAAATCCATTGCTTCTTTCATATTCAATTTGCTTTGACAGAAATTCTTTACTTGGTTTTTCAATTTGGTGTGGAGAGAACAGATTGACTCCAGGAATGAAATAATGCTCTAGACGCTCTGTCTCGAGGCAGTGAAGGAAGTATGCCACACAGCTGCCAAAGCAGAGCTCCAGGTCCTCGCAGCGCCACTGACTGTCAGCCGGGTCCCGGGTACATACATGAAGGAAGGCCGTTTTCACATGGTAAGAACAGAATTTATCCAGTTCCTTTCGGTTTCTGAACTTTTTTTTCAGTTGTTCTAAAAGATATTTCATTAGTTTTAAACAATCTTTCCTGTTGAATAAAAAAGACAACCATTTATTTTTACTGATTTACAATCTCTTTCATTCCACAAAGAGCTTTAGCCATCTTATAGGAAAAACATATAAAGATACGAAAAACAATACAGATATTAAAATACATATAAAGATACAAAAAACAATAAAGATATATAAATAACACAAATATAGAGTCACTCTAAAATCTGATTAGTTTTTCAAATATATGCTTTGAAGTTTCAAAAACATATTTTTCCCCATTCCTAGCTTAAATATTTTATTCTACCAGGATTAATTCAACTATATGAAACTGGCAGGTATTTATATTATTCATCCAGTTATTTAGTACCTAGAAAAACCTCGTTTCAATTTTTATAAAATTATTTTACCTTATTGGACTGCAAATATTTACACTATTCATCCAGTTACTTAGTAGTTGACAAAATTCAATGTTTATAAAATTATTTAGCCTTATCAGCAATATATTCTTCCTAATGCTTGCTTCCAAGCCTGCATATGAAGCTAAAGAATCACCCTGAGCCTGCATGCTGGGCATTCTTGTTTTGATCTTTTAACTTTTGTGACCCTTATACTGGACAACTTCAGAAATTCAAATGAACGATTCCTTTTCAACCTTAGTTCTTTATGGTGTGTATGCTACCAAGAAAAATAATTACCCATCTCTTAGTGTTATTTCAAGTTTAGCCAGTCAGTCTCCAGCCTTCAACACAGCCAACCCATCTAAAGCAAGCACCACTATCCAGTAAGAGTGATCCTTTGCCTCCTCCCATTATGTGACATTAATACTCATTACCTCGAAGCACCAGAACACTAAGACACATCCAATGTCATGGCTAGTGTTCACACTCTTTCACTCTGTCTCACTGTACACATCCACCTGGTGCAGGTTCAGGACTGTGATCCCTGGCTTTGCCTTCTAACCACACTCTTTACTCCATCCTCAGGATCTGGCTTCCCTGGCTTCAGGCTCACCCTCTAGATAACACTCTAGGTCAGTCCAGCCATGCGCTGCCCCAGGACTCAGCCCGGCAATGATCTTCTTCAGGTTTGAGCTATGCAGCCAACAAAGAACTAAACATCCCACAGATAATCCCTCAGTGAACAAAATAAGGGAGTTACCTGCAACATTTCACTCCATTAATTTCACAGCATGTTTTAGATTGTCCATGATTTTTCAAAATATCCTTTTCAATGTGAGAGAAGGACAGCCGCCATGTTTCTTCTTAATTTCCAAAAGAAAAATAGAAAAGCACTTTACCAAAACATCCACATATAAACAACACAATATTTAAGTGATTTCCTTCCTTATCAGGGGGAGATAAACTAAAAGAAGTGAACAGATAATGTAATTACATATTAAAACAAATGATTTGAAGCAAACACTGGTCTGAGATAGCAAAAAATGGGGCGGGAAGGTCAGAGTTTAATATAGTTAGCCATGGTACGATGTATTTTGTTTATTTTTGGATACTGTCCTTATATTTGTATTTTGTTTATTTTTTATACCATCTTTGCAAGTTTTGGTATTCATGTAAAAGGAACTAGAGCACGTTTCGTTTCTTTCTATTTCTTGGGAGAGTTTATGTAAGAAGAGAATGATGTCCCCTATTCTCCTCAAGTTTTACCACAGCTGACTCTTTTAAGCTCTGACCATCCTATTATCTAGTTGCTTTTATACTGGGAATGCATGGTTGGTTTATAATTTAAAAATCAATCAATATAATCCGTCACATTAACAGAATAGAGCAGAAGCATATGATCATATCAATAGAAACAGCAAATACAGCTAAGAAAATTTAACATTCATTCATCATTTAAAAAAAAAACACCTCTCAGCAATTGAAATCTGGATGGAAACTTGATCTGATGAAAGGCAGATTAAAAAGAAAACACACGAGCATGATAATATAAGGTAACAAGTTGAAGTTTTTTCCTTTGAAATCAGGAAGGCAGCATGCCTGCTATGCCCATTTCTGTTCAACATGCACTGTCTATCCTAGCAAGCGTAGTAAGGGAAGGAAAAACGGGGATAGCACTGGAAAGGGAGAAACAAAGACACCATTATTGCTAGGTGACATAACTGCATATGTAGAAAAGAAGCTGGCTGACAGGTGTGTGAGTTCAATATATTCTTCAGTCTATTTTTCTATTGGTTTAAAATTTCTCATAATAAAAAAGTACAATTACCTATGAGTAAATCTAACAAAAGACACACAAAACTTCAGTGGAGAAATCTAAAACTTCACTGAGAAGTATCAGAGAAAATCTAAATAAATGGAGATGTGTACCCATACATGGATTGGAAGACTCCTCGTAAATATATCAAGTCTCCCCAAATTCACCTATAGATTCAATGTACTCTCAATCAAAATTCCAAAAAATGTTTTTGTGGAACTTGACAAGATAATACCAAAATTTTTATGAAAACGCAAAGAGTCAAGAATATCTAAAACACTCTTGAAGGACAAAGAGGAGAACTTGCCCTACCAGATATCAAGACTTGTAAAAGCTACATTATGTATGACAATATGGTACACTGCAAGGATAGAGAAAGAGTTTAACGGGACAGAATAAAGAGTGTAGTGATAGCTACACAATTATATGGACAATTAACATACAGAAAAGGTGGCCCTGAGCTGGGTGTGCTCATTGCCACTCTATAAATCCATTTATGACATCCATTTATGCCATTCTAGAAAGGGCAAAACTATAGAGATGGTAAACAGATCAGTGGTTGCCAAAGATTTGGGATGACCAGGGTTGCATAAGTGAAGCATAGGTGACTTTTTAGGGCAGTGAAACTATTATGTCAGGGTAGGTACATGATACGATGCATTTGTCAAAATGAGTAGAACTTTCTAGCACCAAGAGTGAACCTTAATGTATGCAAATTTTAAAAAAATCATTTAGGAAGTCAAAGGATCCCAGAAAATAATGCAGACTGTGAAAAGGGACTCTAACTGCATTACAAATGTATGAAACAACCTCCCTGAAGGAGGTGGGGGCAAAAGGTGCTGACAAGTTACTTTATAAACGAGGTATGTAAGAATGAAGGCAAAACGAACTGTACACAAGCACTGTACTCTTGTTGATAATTGCTTCCCACGGGGAAATGGGTTTACAATTCTGAAACAACTATACACGTATACTGGAACTGAACAATTAAGTAAACGGGTGTCAGATGGTGGGTGCCAGGTTTTTCACTGTTGGAATGAGAGGTTACAGATAGTAAGGAGAGAAGGTTAGAATGATCCATGTTGTAACGGATTATAGTTAGAGACATCAGTATGAACTCATGTATAACTTAATATAGTACAGGTGGTTACATACAGAAATACTTGCAGATATGTGTGTATACTGAGATGAGTATACATACATATATTTCCTTGCTCCTTCAGCTGAGAAGGATGACACCTTAGTAGCAGAGTACACATAGCACTCAGATCTTGTTTTCTAGTATATTCTCCAATAAAAGGATTCAGGGCTTCTTGGAGAAATGACTGATTACAGGACTGAAGCGGGAAATATATAAGATGAGCCTGGAGCATCTGGCCAGAAAGTGAGTTAGTGCTGAAAACAAAAAACAAAACACCCCACAATTATGGGAGGTATGTTAAAAGGACACAGGAGCCAACTGAAAGGGACCCTAAAGGCCAAAGCTGGAACACTTTAAGCCATAAAATAAAGTAGTATTGGATTACAGCCCAAAGTATAAAACAAATACCATGAGTCCATACTGACATAAATGATTCAGTAAATAAATAAATGGGGGAGAAGAGACAATGCAATGAATTCTCCCATGCAAAAGAATTCCAAATAATTTGTGTAAATACTCTGCTCTTAAAGAACTGGAGCATAACTCCCCTCTCCTTAAGTTTGAACTGTGCACAGTGACTCCCTTCCAAACGGTACGGGACAAAAAGGGGGGAAAAGAGCAACTCGACAGTGAAGAAAGCTGACAAACACGACCTCAGCCAGGTGATAGGTCAATATCAGCAGTGCTAAGTCATGTCCATGGCATGTACCCTTGATGTGATGTGAGGCGAATGCCACTTGACCTCTGTGGTCTTCCTCCCCAGACCCAGAACTCTAGTCTAATCCTCAGAAACATCAGACACATGCCACATGAGGGACATTCTACAAAACCCTGACTAGTCCTCCTCAAAACTGCTCAGGTCATCAAAAACAAGGAGAGACTGAGGAACTGTCACAGTCCAGAGGAGCACAAGGAGACGTGATGACTAAATGTCATGTGGTGTCCTCGATGGGATCCTGGGAGAGAAAAAGGACATTAGATAAAAACTAAAGACTCAAGTATGGGCTTTAACAATACTGTATCAATATTATTAATTGTGACAAATGTATCATATTAATGTAAGATAATAGGGAAATATGTATGGGGTATAGGGGAACTCTACTATCTCTGCCATTTTTCTCTAAATCTAAAACTATTCTACAATTAAAACTTGATTTTAAAAAATTACTTTGAAATGTCATTTCTCACTTTTTGGATTATTGGCAAAAATTCCAAAGTTTAACGAGTTCTGCTGATAGTGCTGAGGGTGAAATAGGTACTCTCATACACTGCTGTGGGAATGCAAATTGGTACAATCCCCGTGGAGGTGATTTTGGCAATATCTAGCAAAAATTGCATATGGATTTACTTCTTGACCAGCTGTAAAAATAAAGTGTAAAAAGGAATGGGCACTACCTGGATAGAGAGCTATGGAGTGATATCCAAGATATCTTATGATGTAAAAAAAGGAAGGTGTACTTTTTATCTTAAAAAGGGAAGTAACACATGCATATATATATATATATATCTGTATATACTTATATTTTTTACAAATGAAAGGTAAACCAAAAACAATTAAAATGGTTTCTGATCAGTGAAGGAGAGAAGAGGGGAGAGGGGACACGAATGGAAGCTACGTTTCTCTAAGAAGACCTTTTTCTATTTTGAAACCATGTGAATGCTTTTAAAACAAAATGCTTATAAAACAAATTTAAATCAAAATTTAAAATCCAATATCTAAAATTAGAAACCATAATGAAACAAATTTAACTCTGTTGAGATGGGTAGTTAACCACCTGGAGAAATATTTTATGTGGGTTTAAACTTGATATTTTGACTGTCCTTTCATCTCAAGAACAAAAGAACTGCAAAGAAATCTTCAACTGTTTTGTTATAATTATACTCTTGGTAATAATACTGGTATTATTATTTTGAAACAGATATAAAGAGTAACAAAACAAGTTTGAAAATTTTAATTAAAAATCAAATAAATTATATTTTTAAAAATATAGCTTGTGAGACACGGAAATGTCCAGTAAAATGTTTGGAAAGGAAAAAGGTGGGTGTTATAAATGCCTGCAATCTAATCCAAGTATTTTCATTACTAATATCCTCCACTGTTCAGTCACTTGGGGACACACACACACACACATACACACACACAGGCAGGGTTTTGCCTGAATATCAATCATCTGGAATGATGAGAGATGGAGAAGAGCCAAGGGTAACAGAGAGCAGAGGTCAAGTGAGCACCCATCACTAGCCTCTACTTTCATCTTAATGAAAGGATGTAAGCAACTATCCAACCACACTGGCCTTTGTACAGCCACAGGGCCACTGAAGGCCTCTTTCTCATCTCTAGGCTGATCTGTTTCCCAGTCTTCCCCAAGGCAGTCGGCAGAGGGCCAGCAAGAGGGTGGTATGGGTCCTGTTGAGATTTCTCTATCACATACGCTGAGGGTTTCTTGGGGCAGCCATTCTAGAAATTGTTCAGGGGTGCAACCCTTCTTTGCAGAAAGCTATGTTCCCTTTACAAAGCCATGAATAACGATATATGTAATTCCCTCTTATAAATATGTCTTCTTGCAGAAAATGACTCCTATATATATGCAACATACAAAGTTGTGATCTGTGTCCACAAAACCACAAGCCACCACACTAAGCTTGATTGACCATTTCTGCGCTCTCTTCAGCAACACTCATTTATAACTTGGTTCATTTGCTTTGTGGTCTCCTCCAATCTCCCTGCAGTCGAGCAGTAGTAGGTGCCAAAAATCCTTATATAAATTTATAAGAGAAAAAGAAAATATTAGCTAATTTTTTCTCAGGTGGCAGAATAACTATGCCCTTTTCAATTCTGTCTCTTATCAAACTCCCATTCTGTAGCCTACTTAGCCTGATGGCTCTTGAAATGACAACAGCATTAGTTGATTTTTTACGGTCCTAGTATATAACATTAACAACTCTTTTGTACATCTTTAAGTTAACCTTCACATTCAAGATACCTTGAAAACCATTTCCTTCCTTTGCATGCTTGGGTACCAGGTAAAACGGCTGTCGTCTTAGAGTGTTCCTAACTTTCACTCCAAGCCAGTTATCGATGGGCAGGCCTTCCTTGGTGCTAGCAGGCCAGCTGCTTTTTGACTCCAGAGCCAGGATTATATCCACGGCTATTTCTTTAGGTTTGCTAATAAGTAGCGTTACAGCAGGGCTCCCTCTCCTCTTCCTCTCCACAATGACGTCTGTGTCTGTTTAAATGTATAAAAGGGAAGAAAGGGTTTATCAATCCAATTTTCTCTGAAAACACACAGAAAATAATAGAACTATGATTAGAAATCTATAAAGTGCTAAATGTACAGTGAAAATTAATTCTAAAGTGGAAACTGACCCCACAAGGCAAAGTGTTTTACTCATTTAACCAATATTTATGGATGCCTATCATGGGGGGCTTGTCAAGATTCTGTCTAGTATATATGATGAGGAGCCCCTAGAGACTTTGGGGTTTGGGAGGACTGTGATTAAATTTTCATCTAACTTTATGGATGGCAGTTTGGAGGGAAGCCTGGAGAAGAGGTCAGAGGAGTAAGCAGCAGGGAGGAGAGAGGCAGTGGAGAAAACCACAGCAAGAGCCCAACACAGAGGGTGGGCGCCTGTGCTAGCACAGAGGCCATGAGCATCAAGGCACAGGGAGCAACCCGTGTTCACTGCAGCATTAGTCACAATAGCCAATACATGGAAACAACCCGAGTGTCCACTGATGGATGAATGGATAAAGAAATTGTGCTACGTACATAATGGAACATTATTCAGCCTTAACAAAGAAGGAGATCCTACCATTTGTGACAACATGGATGAACTTGCTGAGTGAATTAAGCTAGACACAGAAAGGCAAATACTGCATGATCTCACTTATATGCGGAATCTAAAAAAGTAGAATACAGAGAAGCAGAGAGTAGAATGGTGGTTACCGGGGGCGAGGAGGTGGGGAAAATGGGGAGGTGTTGGTCAAAGAGCACAGAGTTGCAGTTATGTAAGGTGAGTAAGTCTAGAGATCTAACATACAGCATGACATCCATCATTAATACTACCATATTCAATACTGGAAATGTGCTAAGATAGCAGATTTCAGTTACTCTCACCACACATAAAAAAAGGTACGTATGTGAGAAGATATGTTAATTAGCTTGACTGTGGTAATCATTTCACTATGTATATGTATATCAAAACATCATGTTGTACACCTTAAATATATACCATTTTTATTTTTTATAAAAAAGACACAGGTAGCAGAAGTGAGAGCAATTAAAGAAGTTCAAATCAGCAGAACTAGTAGATGGACTGAATCTGTGAGGTAAGGAATAAAGTAGGAGTCTGGGATGCCATGCCAGGATTTTGGCCTGGGAAATGGTTGATGTTGATTCCATTCTGCAGTATAGAGTAAGCAGCAAGAAGAAAGATAGGGCAGAGATGAACGTCATTTTAGACACCTCAAGCTCTAGGTGCCTGTAGGACACCCAAGTGGAGATGGCCAATGGGCAAGTGCCTGTGGTGGTCAGAAATTCGGGAAAGGCCTCTAGATGAGAGAGATGGGATTTGGGGTTGTACAAGCAGTAGTTAGAGATTACTCCTAGATAAGATTTCTGGAAGGAACCACAGTGAGAGGGAAGATAGAGCACTAAGGAGAAAATCCTAGAGAACATCCTCATTTTCTTATCAGAAATCTGCAAACCTACCCACCTCTTTTACCCATTATATCCTTCTTCCCTCCTACTACCACTGAGGAAATGCCCGTCCACCTTTTTTTTTTTTAATTGTGAGGTGACACAAAATGTTTTTTTTTTATTGTGAAATTTTTGTTGTACATTATTGTTTGTCAGTCACCATATAAATGCATCCCTCCACCCCTTGTGACCACCCCCCACCCCCCTTGCCCCTGGTAACCACCAAACAGTTCTATCTGTCCGTGTGTTGGTTTATCTTTCACATGTGAGTGAAATCATGCACTGTTTGTCTTTCTCTTTCTGGCTTATTTCGCTTAACATAATACCCTCCAGGTCCATCCATGTTGTTGCAAATGGGATGATTTTGTCTTTTTCATGGCTGAATAGTATTCCATTGTATATATATACCACGTCTTCTTTATCCAATCATCAGTTGAGGGACACTTGGGTTGCTTCCATGTCTTGGCTATAGTGAAGAATGCTGCGTCCATCCACCTTTTAAAGGCCCCCCCTGCACATGGTCTCTGGATCCCTCCTTCTCACCTTCTCAAGCACCTTGCTTCTTCAGTTCTCCCTTCTCCTGCATCAGCAGCCTCCCATCCATACTAGATCATTCTTATCTGTGTACAAAGGGTTCTAGTGTCTCATTCTAAAATATACCTCTCCCTTGACCCTATATCTGCCTCCTCCTCTGCCTCATCTTTCTACTGCCTTCGCAGCCAAAACTTTCTAAAGAGTTGTGTACACATGCTGTTTCTACTGCATCCCTGCCCTTTCTCTCGTGTGCTCATGACCCCACTGAAACTTCTACGTAAAAGTTACCAAAACCCCCATAAGTCCGAAGACCAAATCCAATGGTTTTCTGGATGTCAGCAGCACACTAAACAGTGACCACTCCTTCCGCAAAACACTCACAGCCCCCTCTTGCTCCTTCTCTTCTCCTCAACCTCTAATGGGGTCCCCTTCTCACCACTCTACTTAACATTGCAATCTCCCCCATCCTATCCCCAACCCTCCTGATCCCTCTCACTTTACTACACTTTTTCATCATAAGACTTACTACTTTCTAGCATACAAGATAATTATGTTTTCCATTTGTTATTAATTGCATGTCTGCCTTTACATGATTATTAGGTACAGAAGGGTGAGGATCTTCATCTATTTGTTCATTAATATATCTGAAATACCTAGAACACCCAGCACATTGGATGATCAATGAATACTGATTAAATTAATGAATAAATGAATCCACACTCTCTGCCTAGGTGGTCTCATCCATTGCCAATGTCGTTTATATGTTTACATGCAGCCCAAACGTATTGTCTGAACTCCAAACCTATGTCCAACTACATACTTGACACATTCACTTCAAGGCACCAGAGGAATCTCTAACTTCACCTATCCAAAGCCAAACTCTTAATTCATACCCCAAAATACATTCCTCCTCGGTCCTTCCTATCTTAGAAAATGGCATAATCAATCCACACAGGTGCTCAACCCAAAAACCTGGGAGGCTTCTTTACTTCAATCCTCTCTCTCACCCCTACACTTAATCCAGAAGTAGTGCTACTATAGCTTGGATATGTCTGCTTCTCTCCATCCCCAGCCCCCCGCTCCCACCCCCATCTAAGCCACCACTATCTTTCACCTGAACTATTACAATATTTTCCTTTCTCATCTCCTTATTTGCCTTATAATATCTTCTCCATAGAAGCCACAGTAACCTTTTAAAAACACAAAGCCAATCATTACTCCCTAATTAAAACCTGGCTTCTCAATGAACATGGAATAAAATCTGAATTCCTTTCCAGGATCTACAAGTCCTTGCAGAATCTGGCCCCTGGCCACCTCTTCAACTTCATTTCATGTCATTCTTCCCCTTGTCCACATGGGCCTCTTTTTATTCCTTGAGCTTGCCAAGCTCTTTTCTGCCTTAGGGCCTTGCTCCACCACCCACTCTACTCCAATTGCTACCACTTCTCCCAGTTCATTCCCTTCAGAGCAATCACCGCAACCTGTGTTTACAAGCTTCAGGCTTCAAGAGGGGATCCCACCGATTTTATTCAACAACATATACCAAGTGACACAGGCAGCAGTTCAATGATTAGTCAATGGAGACCAAAATAGAGCCAATCAACATTTAGGAAGAGTATCAAGAAAATGTAATAGACTAAAAACAAGAGCAAAGAACTGTTTCTAGAAGGTAGTAGTCAACATCCTGCTGCAGAGAGGTCAAGAAAGATCAGGAAAGGAGTGTTTGGCAATTAGTAGGTACAATTACGCCTTTAAGAATCAAAAGTCAAAAATCTTACCTTCGATGTGTTTAATTTCTTCCTTAATGATTTTCCTAAACTTGGACAGCATCTTAGAAGCTGATAATATTTCCTCTTCTAAAAACTCACTCAGAGGATTTCCTTTGGGATTTCTTTTGAACTTCACAAAGTAATGAGCACCACTGTTGCAATATTCTTCTAGCTGAATTCTGGGGACCTCCAGTTTGAACATAACATCAAATTCATTAGGAGAAGAAATCTAAAAAAAAACGTAAAAAGAGCACTGAAATGTTTGCTTGTGAATATTTTCCAAGCAAATGCAATTTTTTTCTTGAAATCTCCACTTAAAATTCTACTTTGAGGAGGTGACATCAGCATCACGGGGGAGCGAACTCTTCCCTTAGACTCTCCCCCCAAGATACAACAAAAAGGACATTCATAAACCAACAGAGGATATTCATGCAACACAAGAGACATCTGAGAGACCCATACAGCCATATGTCTGAAGGTGGAGGTGCCGGATCCTGCGGGAGGAAGTGGAAGAAGGTAAAGGGATCTCCTCTCCCTCCCCAGCAGTGACCTAGGGCACGGGACCGTGCGCAGCTCTGAGAAGAGAGTGGGGAGGGGAAGCTCTCTGTGGGAACACCTTCACTCCCCGAGTTGCCTCCCAGCCATGGGGAAGCTCCACACAGAGGAGGCTAAGCTATTGTGGGGTGTCTTCATCAAGCCAGCACCTCAGGAGAGCAGATAGCGACGGAAGAGCAAGAACGGTCCTGGGATTGCACACATCAAACAGAACACCCCTCCTCCGATCCAGCGCACCAGCTCAGCCAATCGGCCAGAGCAAGGGACCGCGGCCAGAGCACGTGCACATGCCTTTATAAAGGAGCAGCGAGCAGGTAATCGCAGACAGGCCCTGTCAGCATAGATTCCCAAGGACAGGCACAGACACTGCAGGCTAAGAATACACAGCTCCTGACCCCCCGCCCCCAGTGGTGGCAGGTGGGATCTGTGACCAGATGCTATCACTATGCAAAGGCACAAATCCACCCCATCAAATAGTATGAAAAAATATATTAATACTCCAGACCGGAAGAAACATGACAAGCACCCAGAAATCAATCCTGAAGCCACAGAAATTTACAATCTAAATGACAGAGAATTCAAAATAGCTATCATAAAAAAACTCAAGGATTTACAAGAAAATTCTGAAGACAGTTCAATGAAATCAGGAACAAAATTAATGAACAGAGGGAGTTCTTCACAAAAGAGATTGAAACTATAAAGAAAAACCAATCAGAAATGTTGGAGATGAAAAACACAATCATGAGATAAAAAAAATCTGGAGTCCTTTAATAACAGAGCTGATATTATGGAGGACAGAATTAGCAGTTTGGAGGACAAAAATGTACAAAAGCTTCAGATGCAGGAGGAGAGAGAACTAAGACTAAAACAGAAATGAAGAAATTCTCTGAGAAATATCCAACTCAATTAGGAAATGCAACATAAGAATTATAGGTATTCCAGAGGGAGAAGAGAGGGATAAAGGAGCAGAAATCTTGTTCAAAGAAATAATAGGTGAGAACTTCCCAAACCTGGGGAAGGAGCTGGAATTACAAGTAAAAGCAGCTTATAGAACATCTAATTACAATGTAAAAAGACCTTCTCCAAGGCATATAGTAGTAAAACTGTCAAAAGTCAATGACAAAGAAAAAATATCAAGGGCAGGAAGACAGAAGAAAATAACTTACAAAGGAACCTCTATCAGGCTTTCAGCAGATTTCTCAGCAGAAACTTTACAGGCTAGGAGTCATTAGAATGATACATTCAAAATTCTGAAAGACAAAAACTTTTAGCCAAGAATACTCTATCCAGTGAAAATATCCTTCATATATGATGGAGAAATAAAAACTTTCCCAGATAAACAAAAGGTGAAGGAGTTCATCACCACAAGAACCCCCCTACAAGAAATGATCAAGAAGGCCCTCATACCTGAAAAAAAAAAGAAAGGGTTTACAAAGCCTTGAGCAAAGAAATAAATAGGCAGACAAAATCAGAAAATTGCAGCTCTCTATGAGAACAGGTTGGCAAACACTTAATTATAACGTAAAGATAAAGGGAAGAAAAACATCAAAAATAACTATAATTTGTCATTTTAATCACAAACTGACAACACAAAACAGAATAAGTTGTGACAAGAATAACTTAGAAGGAGAAGGGGAAAGGGATGGAAACTGCTAAGACTAGGGAACTAAGAGGCTATCAGAAAATGGACTATCTTAGCTACAAGATTTTTTTTGTTTTTAATGAGGAAGATTAGCCAGGAGCTAACATTTGTTGCCCATCCTCCTCTTCTTGCTGAGGAAGATTGGCCCTGGGATAACATCCGTGTCCATCTTCCTCTATTTTATATGTGGGATGCCTGCCACAGCATGGCTTGATAAGCAGTGCACAGGTCCATGCCCAAGATCCGAACCTGCGAACCCTGGGCCGCCAAAGCAGAACATGCAAACTTAACCACTACGCCACCGGGCAGGCCCCTCACCTACAAGATTTTTTTATACAAACCTCATAGTAACCACTCAAGAAATAATCAGAACAGAGACACAAATGATAAATAAAGATAAAACTGAGAAAAACAACATAGAGAACTACCAAACTGAATTGGCAGTACGAAATACATGGGACGAGCACAGGGAAATACAGAACAAGTGGAAAACAAGTGATAAAATGGCAACATTAAGCCCTCATATATCAATAATCACTCTAAATGTAAATGGATTGAATTCTCCAATCAAAAGACACTGAGTGGCTGGATGGATTCAAAAACAAGATCCAACAATATGCTGCCTCCACGAAACACATCTCAACTCTAAAGACAAACACAGGCTCAGAGTGAAGGGATGAAAGACAATACTCCAAGCTAATGGCAAACAAAAGAAAGAAGGTGTTGCCATACTTATATCAGACAAAGTAGACGTCAAGATAAAAAAGGCAATAAGAGACAAAGAGGGGCAGTATATAATGCTAAAAGGGACATTCCACCAAAAGGACATAACATTTATGAATATATATGCACCCAAAACAGGAGCCCCAAAGTACCTAAAGCAGGTATTAAAAAACCTAAAAGGAGATATTAACAGCAACACAATAATAGTAGAGGACCCTAACACCCCACTTACATCAATGGATAAATCATCCAGCCAGAAAATCAACAATGAAATAGTGGAATTAAATGAAAAACTAGACCAGATGTACTTACTAGAAATATATAGAACAGTCCATCCAAAAACAGCAGAATACATATTCTTCTCAAGTGCACATGGAACATTCTCAAAGATAGACCATATGTTGGGAAACAAGGCAAGCCTCAATAAATTTAAGGAGGTTGAAATCATATCAAGCATCTTTTCTGACCATAATGCTATGAAACTAGAAATCAACTACAAGAAAAAAGCTGGGAGAGTGGCAAATATATGGAGACTAAACAACATGCTACTGAACAACCAATGGATCGCTGAAGAAATTAAAGGAGTAATCAAAAAAATATCTGCAGACAAATTAAAATGAAAGTACCATATCATACACCATACCAAGTCATATGAGATGCAGCAAAAGTGGTCATAAGAGGGAAATTCATAGCAATACAGGCCCACTTTAACAAACAAGAAAAATCTCAAACAAGCAACCTTAAACTACACGTAACAGAACTAGAAGAAGAAGACCCAAGGAAGCCCAAAGTCAGCAGAAGGAGGGAAATAACAAAAATTAGAGCAGAAATACGTTGAAACCAAAAAAAACAGTAGACAGGATCAGTGAAACTAGGAGCTGGTTCTTTGAGAAGATAAACAAAAGATAAGCCCTTAGCCAGACTCACTAAGAAAAAAAGAGAGAAGGCTCAAATAAATAAAATTAAAAATGAAAGAGGAGAAATGACAACAGATACCACAGAAATATAAAGTATTATAAGAAAATACTATGAGAAACTATAAGCCAACAAATTGGACAATCTAGAAGAAA